CTCTCCTCTCCTCTCCTCTCCTCTCCTCTCCTCTCCTCTCCTCGTTTTTGGGGGCATCTGGGGGGTTTTTCCTGATGCCTGGGCTGTTTGAGGAGCCAGTTATTTTTTTTAAGCCGTGTTTTCAAGGAAGAGCAGCATCAGCAGACAGAATTCTCATCCTCCCAAGCGCTCCAGAGTGTGAGAATGGGCGTGGGGAGGTTGGGAAGGTTATTTGGGGACAGCTGATCCTGCTTTGAGGACAAGGGAGTGGCAGAGGATTCTAAACATAGATTTTTTTTTTAATTTTTTTTTCCTCGTGCCCCTGCACTTTTTCTGCATGAGAGGAAAGGCAGACCTTTCACAACCACCCACTTTGCTTTGCTGAGCCTGTCCTGCTTCCCTTGGCAGTGYGAGGACAGCAAGGTGGACGCTCTCACAGAAGCCCTGCAGGCCACGGTGATGCGCTGGAAATGCAAATTCCCCACGCCACTGCCACTGGAGCTCTACACCTCCTCCAACTTCATCGGCCTCTTCGTCAAGGAGGACAGCGCTGAGGTGCTCAAGAAGTTTGCTGCGGATTTCGCTGCCGAGGCGGCGTCCAAAGCAGGTGAGGGACGGCTCTGGGAGCTGCCAGGAGCTCCTGGCATGGGCACTGCCAGCACCCCAAAGCTCTGATGCCATAAAGGAACCCAGTCTTTCATAGTCAGAACCCCAAAACTCTTTAATTCGTGAAGGAGCCCAACCTGGGCACTGCCAGGACTCCAAAGCTCTGATTCCATAAAAGAACCCAGCCTTTCACGGTCAGAACCCCAAAATTCTTTAATCCATGAAGGAGCCCAACCTGGGCACTGCCAGGACTCCAAAGCTCTTTAACTCACCAAGGAGTCCATTAGTGCAGCAGAGAGAACAATGGAGGAAGAGTAAAAATCATGCTTTCTATCATGTTTATTTTAGAAAGATCCTCAGCTGCTCACAAAATCCTCCCCACTACCTGGAAAAATATTCTTTTTTTTTGGCAGGAGACCCAGCGTGGTCAGAATTTCAATAACTGCGGTCGCGGCATCTGTTGTTCGGCAGTTTGGCACGGATGGCTGTTCTGTCACCCTGCTGTGACTCAGGGCTGAATCAGAGCCCAAACCCTGATAATTTGATCCAGGGTGCAGTGTCAGAGAGCTCACTCACACTCACACTCACACTCACACTCACACTCACACTCACACTCACACTCCTGTAGTTTGTTCCACTCGACTTTTTGCAAGTCCAACTCCCGTTAGAGGCAACAGGCACCCTCCCCTCTCCCAAAATCCCCTCCCAAAATCCTCCAGCCTGGCAGAAATGGGTTCCTGACCCTCCTGTTCCCCCGCAGATGTGCACGTGGAGCCCCACAAGAAGCAGCTCCACGTCACCCTGGCCTATCACTTCCAGAGCAGCCACCTGCCCACGCTGGAGAAGCTGGCGCAGAGCATCGACGTCAAGCTGGGCTGTGACTGGGTGGCCGCGATCTTCTCGCGGGACATTCGCTTCGTCAACCACGAGGTAAAGTCCTGGAGCTTGCTTCATCCCAAAAAAAACCCCCAAAACCCCAAACAAAACACACCTTATTGCCTTATTTTGAGGGTTTTGCTGCCCAGACTTGCTCTTTCACCCACCTCGTTCCTTCCTTCCTCTGGGAATAGCGTCCATCTGATTAATTAATTAATTACTTAATTAAAACGGTGACTCTCCTGTGAGCTCAGCATCAGCAGTGTTTTAACCCGACCAGCCCAATTCTACTGCACAGTCTTGACCTYGTTATCCACCACAGCATCAATTTAATCTCATAAGAAACACTCAGATAATTTACATTTCAATGACTCACATGGATTCTATAAYCAAAATATCAGTCTCATCAGTTTCCTTAATTATGATGTTTTTCAGTATAAAATATACCAAAAAAAGTTAATTCCATTTTGCAGCTTGAGTGTAGAGAAGCCACCGGTGAGATTTATCTCACCTCACTGGAAATATCCCAAAATTTGACCTCCAGCCTGAGGCTTGGGGTGGARAAAAAGGCACCTCCAGATCAGGAGATGTCTGAGACACCTCAGATGTTCATCTCAGGATGAGATGAGTTGATGTCTGGAGCTGGGAACCTCCAGAAGGTGCCTGGCTGGGGTTGGGGTTGGGGTCTGGTTGGGGTTGGGGTTGGGTTTGGGGTTGGGGTTGGGATTGGGGTTGAGGTGATTAACCCCACCAAGGTTCATTGTCCAGAACCAGACACACCAAACCTGTGACTGAGAAGGGAAAAAGCTGTTTTAGAGCAGCCCAGGATCCACCACAAAGCTCCTGGAGAGCTCTCTTCCACATGTGACACCCTCCTTTCCCATCCAGAGAGCCGAGTCCATCCCAAATTCCACAGAACCCACCCCACCCCTGGGAGCTGTGGGTACAAATCAGCCCCAGCTTTGCATCCCTCTGGAGGGTCTGGTGACCCCCATCAGGTGACAGGGACTGTCCCAGCCCCTCTGGAGGTGCCACAGATGGTGCAGGAGGATCGGCGAGGGCTGGCAGCAGCAGGAGAGCCGAGCTGCTCAGCAGATGGTGGCTTTTCCTTGCTTCCCTTCCTTCTGTTCTGCTCCTTGGTGGAGGATTTCTCCAGCTACTTCCAAGGAAAGCTGCTGCAGACATTCCCTCCGTGTGGATTCCTCATGCTCCACAAATCCCAGAATCATACTCGCTGAGTTTTTCCACACCTTTTAACTTCATCCTGCTCATGTCAGGGAATACAGAATTTCTCATCCCCTGCGTTTTTCCCTGTGCATTCCCATGAATTCCCAGCTCTGAGAGCAGAGTGTCGAATCTTTCAACCCCACAACAGCAACAGCAGTCAGAGATGCCTTTTCAGATCAAACTCGAGCAGGGAAATCAAGAATGGTCAGTGGCCACCATAGCTGTCTAAATTCCACAATTCAGTGCCATTTTAGGGTGTTTGGATTTAAAACACACGGTCGTGGCTTTGCTCGCCCTTAAAAATCATCCCTCCCTTTCCTTCCTGGTGACTGAAGGCACGACTGGAATCAAGTTGGGAAGAATTAAAAATCCTAGGAAAAAGAATAAAATAACCCTGGAAAAACTTTTTTTCCAAAGCACAGAGTGGCAGGAATTCCATGAAGGATCTTAACCAGATAAAGCACTGGGAGAACTGAGGTTCAAGGCTGGGAGTGCTGTGCCCTGCTGTGTTAAAAACTCCCTTTCATTAACAATCTTTTTGTGCTTTTCCTCCCCAGACTCTGCAGGTGATCTACCCCTACACCCCTCAGAACGACGATGAGCTGGAGCTGGTGCCGGGGGATTTCATCTTCATGTCCCCTGTGGAGCAGAGCAGCACCAGCGAGGGCTGGATTTACGGGATCTCGCTGGCCACGGGCTGCTCGGGGCTGCTGCCCGAGAACTACATCACCAAGGCGGATGAGTGCGGCACCTGGGTGTTCCACGGGTATGGGGGATCACTTTTTTCCCAAAAAAAAAGCAGCTGGGATTTCACTGGGACGCTGGGAAGGTCACTGAAGGGATGGAGTTGGCAGGCACAGCCCCGTCTCAGCAGGAAGGGAGGAGCAGATGCTCTCCTTGGCGTGAGGTTGAAGGACGAAGGGGATTTTTTTCGCTGAGATGTTGCAGCAATTCTTTCTCACTGCCAGGGTTAATGGGGCTGGAGCAGATGGCTGCTGCAGGCGCTGGGATCAGAAAGGTGTCCATTTGAGCATTAATTTGGGAAGAGACATCTTCTGTGCATCATTCCCTGCTGAAAAGGGCTTGGGAGCAGCAACATTTTTCATAATACTTGGCAGAATTTTTAAAAACTTTCCATCAGGAACAGCAACATTTTTCACAGTATTTAGCAAAACTTTTAGAAACTTTCCGTTGGGAACAGCAACGCTTTTCACAATATTTGGTAGAATTTTTAGAAACTTTCCATTGGGAACAGCAACATTTTCCGCAACATTTAGCAGAATTTTACAAACTTTCCATTAGGAGCAGCTACGTTTTTCACAATATTTCGCAAATTTTTTTTAAACTTTCCATTGGGAGCAGCAACATTTTTCGCAGCATTTAACAGAATTTTTAGAAACTTTCTGTTGGCTTCAATGGCATAACCATTATATACAACCAAAATAACCTTTGGAATAAGGTGCTGTAAAACTCCCTGCAGCCTTTAATTCCCAAACTTTGGGCCAAAATTCTGCAGTCGGTGGCASAGACTGCTCCCCAGTTGATGGTGTGAGCATCCTGTGGTTGTCAGAAAAGTCCTGGAATTCTCTGTGAGAATATTCYAGGGCTGAGAGAGCCTCCCAGACTAAATTTTGGGAGTTGTTCTGTGAATTATTTCCAAGGTAACGGCTCTTGGGGTTGGAATTTGTCTCCTCACGTGCGTGCATCACCAGCCAGGAGCTCTCCGGGCAGCACTAAAAACCAAATAATAATGAAATAATCTCACAGTAATTACACAGCAGTAATTACAGCAGCTCCTGAAGGCTGCACAAATATCCTGAGCACACAGAGCATCCCCCAAGCCAATATTTCTGTGTTTTTGGCAGGTCCTACTCCATCCTGAACACCACATCTTGCCCATCCCTTCCAGCCTTTGCTGATGGAGCTCTGGAGAGGAGGCAGCAGGAGGAGCAAGGGCCAGGGGACGCGGGGCCACTGACCATCATCTGCCAGAACGTGCAGGTAAGGACCCACAGCCTGAAATCCTCAGGGATCAGCTTCCAGCGAATGGATTTTCCCAAAAAAATGGGCTCTTTTCACTCGCTGCAGCATGAATGAGAAAGTTTTTGAATGCCACAATCAACCACAAAATTGCTGTCCCCAAACTGTTTCTCCAGCGGGGGTGGAAAGGCCCATCCTCTGCTCCCTCCAGCAGCTTTAGTGCGGCATCAATTCACCAGCATCACCAAATTCACAAAAACTTCCACAAATCCATAAAAATAACAAATTCTGTGATGTTTGCACAGCCTGGTACTGCATGCCAAGGGTGCCCCATGTCCCCCTGCCATCAACTGAAGGTGCCACTGCTGTCCTTTCCCTTGCAGCCCCTAAGGAGCAGCAGCCAGCAATGAAAATAATAAATCCTGTGAATTTTGCACAGCCTGGTACTGCATCCCAAGGGTATCTATCCCAGGTGTCCCTGCCCTCTGCTTGAGGTGCCACCTGCTGTCCCTTGCCTTGCAGCCCCTGAGGAGCAGCAGCCAGCCATTAAATAATAAATCCTGTGATGTTTGTAGAGCCTGGTGCTGCCTTCAGGAGTGCCCCATGTCCCCCTGCCCTCAGCTGGAGGTGTCATCTGCTGTCCTTTCCCTTGCAGCCCCTGAGAAGGAGCAGCCAGCCATAAAAATAACAAATCCTGTGATGTTTGCACAGCCTGGTACTGCATGCCAAGGGTGCATCATGTCTCCCTGCCATCAACTGAAGCTGCCACTTCTGTTCTTTCCCTTGCAGCCCCCAAGGAGGAGCAGCCAGCAATGAAAATGATAAATCCTGTGATGTTTGCACGGCCTGGTGCTCCCTCTTGGGATGTCCCAGGTGTCCCTTCCCTCTGCTGGAGGTGCCATTTTCTGTCCTTTCCCTTGCAGCCCCTGAGGAGGAGCAGCCAGGGCCCCCAGAAGCGCTGCCTGTTYGTCTGCAGGCACGGCGAGAGGATGGATGTGGTTTTTGGGAAGTACTGGCTGTCCCAGTGCTTCGATGCCAAAGGTGAGCTCCTGGGATTTTCTAGAGAAAGGAGAGCAGCCTTTGCCTGATGGAAGCTGGGTTTTAACCTAAAATGATGATTTTTTTATGCTGGCAGGAGCAGGAAGTCAGGCAGGGAGGAAATTCTCCATTTGCCAATATTTGGGAAATATTGCAGGAGTGATTGTGCTCAGCAGTTACATCACAAAGAGCAGATTAACYCCTGATGTTGGTGGTCCATGTTCAGTGAAAACATTTAATACCATCAAAAAAGTATTTTTCACAGCTGGGTCTCCGTCCTAAATGAAAAGAGTGGTTTTAGGGGCCAAAATGGGTGTTTTCAACCCATTAATATGCTTGGGTTTCAGATTRCAGTTAACAAATTATAACTTCAGGCTCTGTTGGCCTCGGAGCTGATCAGAAAKCTGTYCTARAAGTCTTTTTTCTATTCAAAAATAYCAATACCTTGCAGCCAAAGGATGAKTTCAYAACTCCCTTCTTTCTAWACTGTGGCTGAAGAGCYCTGATATTCCGGCCTCCTGTAAAAGTGTAGTGTTTGTTGTGGGATAGAGATKATTTTCCTTGGGGAAATCGGTCCTAAAGAAAACTTTTAAAACCTTAGCAATATTTTCTGCTGATTCTGAGCTGCTGAAAGATGTTTGATTTAATTTTGTGACATTCTTGATGGGCAAAACCACTCAAGAGCCAGGTTTATACAGGACCTAAAAACACAAAAATGTGGTGGGAGAGGGGAAAATCAGATTTGATGCTCCTGCCTGTGCCTGGAAGGATTCCCTTGTGTCTGAGGGAGAAATTCCAGCTGGAATATCCTCTCCTGCAGGCAGGTACATGCGCAGTAACCTGAACATGCCTCACAATTTACCTCAGAGGAGTGGCGGCTTCAGGGACTACGAGAAGGACGCTCCCATCACCGTGCTGGGCTGCACCCAGGCCAGGCTCGTGGGTAAGCACTTGGGCCAAAGGAGGGTGGATCTCCATGGGATTTTGGCATGGAATTCTTCCCTCTGAGCGTGGGGAGGCCCTGGCAGAGGTTGGGAAATCCTTGGGAATGCCCAAGGCCAGGTTGGATGGAGTTTGGAGCCACCTGGGATGATGGAGGTGTCCTTTAAACTGGATGGGTTTAAGGCTCCTTCCACCCCAAACCATTCCATGATTCCATGAAGAACTTGCCCAAGGAAGCTTCACTCCTTCCTCCCACCCCCCATCAGAGAAAAGTGAAGTGCAAGGTGGAAAAAAACAGATTGGATACCCTGACTAATGGGAATGAAACATTTCAAGGAGCTTTGCAAAGTCACTTCACCTTCATTTTGCAAAATCACTTCACCTTCACTTTGCAAATCCCTTCACCTTCACCTTCCCTTTGCAAATCCCTTCACATTCCCTTTCCAAAGTCTCTTCACTTTCACTTTGCAAAGTCCCTTCACCTTTCCCAGAAAATTCCCTGGGAATTTTCCTTTGAAAACCTCGTCTCCTTCAGCTGCTGCAGCTGAGGAAGAGGCAAAGCAGGAAATGTGGGATAAGGGTGAAATCAGAGCCATCAGCAGGATGGGAGCACTTGGAGGATTTTATTATCCACGCTGGGCAGAAATGCAGCAGCGTGAGCATCACCTCATGCAAAAAAATTGCTTTTTTCATCTCCAGTTTGTCTCAACAACACAATTTTATCAACTTGCCTGGATTTCTATCATYASAAACATCGCCCAAATAATTCCCAGWGTTSTCCCACCCTCCCCATCCTCATCCCTGACTTCTGAGCCTTGATTTGTGCACAGCCAGAAAATCCTTTGCCAGGCTGAGAGCTGTGTTAGGGGAGCCCAGCCCCTTCCAGACAGCGCAGAGCTGAGCCTTCCCTTCCCTCTGCTCACATCCTCGGCGCTCGCAGCCAAACTGGGGCAGCTAAAATTATCCTGGATCTTGTGAGCACCGGGAAATCGCTCAGGAGGAGGAGCAGGAGGAGGAGGAGGAGGAGGAGGAGCAGGAGGAGGAGGAGGAGCAGGAGGATGCTTGGGATCTCAGCCAGAAGGCAGCGGGGTTGGAGAGACACACAGAGGAACAAGGACACGGTTTGGGGGGAATTAAAAAGATTGAGGGCACATTTGTGGGGAGTTAAAGGGGTCTAAGGACATATTTTGGGGGAATTAAAGGGTTTGAGGACACATTTTTGGAGGAATTAAAGGGTTTGAGGAGACAGTTTTGGGAGAATTAAAGGGGTTTAAGGACACGTTTTTGGGAATTAAAGGGGTTTGAGGACACATTTTGAGGGGATTAAAGGGTTTGAGGGGACATTGCTTTGAGGAATTAAAGGGTTTGAGGACACATTTTTGGGGGAATTAAAGAGTTTGAGGGCACACTTTGTGGGAAATTAAGGGGCTTGAGGACACRTTTTTGGGGGAATCAAAGGGGTCTGAGTACGCACTTTCCTGGTGACATTCAAGGTATCCAAGGACACATTTTGTGGGGAATTAAAGGGGTCTGAGGACACATTTTGCTGGTGACATTCAAGGGGTTTAAGGACACTTTGCTGATGGCTTTAAAGGGGTCCAAGGACACATTTTGCTGGTGGCATTCAGAGTGACAGAGGGCTGTAACTGCCCCTCTCCTAAATTACTCCACTCTGGACAGATTTCTGKGCCAGCCTGACACGGTGACAGCCAGGTTCATGTCCCCTCCTTTGTCCAAAATGTGCCTCCTGCCCACCACAAGCCCRAGCAGATCCCCATTCCCCTTGGTTCCCGTAGGCACTGCAGGAATATTCACAGCCCTGACGATTTTTATCTCATTTTTGGAAATCTCCCACCTTTTCTGTGTAATGAAATGTTAATTTTTGCTAGCAAAGAATCCAGCCAGTTGAATGAAGCCGGGGTTGAGTTGTGTTGAATCATTTGATTTACAGCTTCTGAATGAAATCAAATTCAATCCAGGACCAGTACAATTTTTCTGGTTGATTTTTGGCTGGATCCCTGAGAGGCAGGATCTGACAGGATCCCTTTGCAATGCCATTTTCTTGGATTTTTTCACGAGAATCAAAACTTCCTTGCAGGTGAAGCCTTGCTAGAAACAAACACCATTGTAGACTACATCTACAGCTCGCCATCCCTGCGCTGTGTGCAGACAGCCCACAACATCCTGAAAGGTGAGAACCCACCCGGACGGGCTCAATTTTCATCATTTTCATCATAAAACATTGACAATCGGGTTATTTCCACGGGAATGTATTTTAGATTTGCACAATCCATAAGGAATCCTTTCCTAATTGCATCAGCTGCCAGCCAGAGGTTGCCATTCCCTGGCATGCATTAAATAAATATATTAAATACATCTATTAAATGCTTAAATTAAATGCATTATTAAATACAGACATTAAATGCAGATATTAAATACATACATTAAATACAGATATTAAATGCATACATTACTTATATTAATTACATATATTAAATGTGTATTACAGTACATGTGTGAGATAC